GGAACGAAGCTCGTTAAAAATCCGGCATTCTATAATGACTGCAATGACTTCAGGATAGACGACACGATAATCAGTATCACAACTTAAGTCAATGCCGATTAACGAAAGAGTCTCAATCTTTCGCATATGTCGAGATGTTGCGTTATCTTCGGTGACTACTCTATATCATATCCAATGGTCGGAAGAAGGTATTCGAGTTTCCAAATTTGCGGCCATATATATATCGTAATATTTTGTGTGCGTTCCTTAAACTCTGTTCTGTGACGTATGGGAGTTGGGAAACATTAGGCACGTTTCAATATATTGAAAACACCAAAAAAGGTAAGCCAACCCATTATAGGTCAGTTTATTCTGTAACCAATTTAAAAAAAATCGGAAGGATGGGGAATGAGTGTTGTTATAGATAATATGTCAACCTTTGTACCGACAGGCAATCGCACTGTAATCGTGGTATTATTGTTGTTGTGGATATTGTTGCAGTCAGATTACCGTTCGCATCTACCAGTTACGTTTTGGGTGGTTTTAAACTTAAGCAGGAAACAGAGAATTTCACAGTACCCAAAGAAATGGAATGTGCTCGGATGTACTAATTGGAGATCAAAAGATGCGCGGTTCCCAGGGGCCGTGCTCGCCGGCATTCGCACAGAGCACGCCGGCTCTACAGAAGTGCCGCGGCGGGATATCCAAGAGGCTGCATGACCTGTCAAAACGAGGAATCAAAGACTTCTTTTTCTGCTTCAGGCTATGCGGTCCTAAGGCCTTTAGAATAACGGAGGATTTAATGCAGGAAAGGATCTCCCAGGAGACAACTTGGCAAAGTCGCATTGCCAAACCCATTTCCTGAAAGGGTATAGATGACGCACTGAAGCATGCAGTTGGAAGTGGGTTTATTCCTTCATGGGGTCTCCTGAACCCAGACCTTAACTAGAAACAAATAAACATTCTTCAAGCATTTACTGTCAGGAAAGACTGAGGTGGAATAGATCCCCCAAAAGTAATAATAGGGAGCTACATCTGATCACCAAGCATTCCTAAAAGTTCTACTGGAAGTAATCCTTCACTCGCAAAATAAACACTTTTATCATCCGATTTAATTCGCTGGGAATACTCTGTGTGGACTTTTAACTTAAACTTCAGAAAACCCAGTATTTATAAGTGCAACAGCATTCCTCATCCGGTGGAGTGTTTAGTTCGCACCATTTGAAAAGGGGAGTCAAACGTCGGATAGATGAATGCATTGTTGAGTCAGTAAACGACGACTTAAGACGCCATTGCCATCTTCTTTCCTACTGAGTTTCATCAAATTCTTTTTCACTCCGCTTGTGCGTGCTTCGTTTCAACACTTGCAGCATAGTTAACGCGGACAGTGTGAGCATTCATCTTATAATTCCCCCTACTGCCTTACATGCAGAAGCGGGGGATTTTCAAACTAAATTTTAATTATAATTTGGTGTTGAAAGGTCAACTCCGTTCCTATTAACCCAGGAGGCATGGTGAACGACCTTCGTACATAAAAATTTTAAAATTCTCTACTGAGACACACGCTACTTCTTCAATTTGGTCAGTTGTGGGGTGTAGGCTAACGGAAGCAAAATTTTGTCGTTAAAAGTGTAGCACGCGAATGAGGTCAGCCAACACCCAAGTTTATCGACTGGAGAACTGTTCCTCAGAATTACCCTTCCAGTCAACAATTTTAAGCGCCCTGACTTCACCTACAGAAAATGACCTAAATCATAGGAGAAAAGCTCAAATTGTCCACGATATACTTTGTTGTAAGCACAAAAGTATCATAATTGCAAAGCCCTACGAGAGGTGAAGAAGGACGTGATGGAACCTAGTATAAAATAAGAAGGCAGCGGCGTCCAAATTCCTAGGTACCTGACTCACAGTTGCAGTCATCTACTCGACGTTTGAATCACCCTTTCAAATCGTACGAACCAAAGACTATACTTGATGGGGGATGCTGGTGCACTTATAAATACTGAGTTTAATGAAGGATGAAACTAAAAGTTAGCACAGAGTATTCCCACAGAAAAAGGTAACCATTAAATCAGCTCATAAAGGAGT